CCAGGGCTTCTTCCCTGGGTTTACCAAGCTGACCTCCAGCTTGTCTGATTTTTCTTCTTCGTGCATGCTCTCGCCTTGCAGAGCCACTCTCTCTACCTCCAGCAAAGCCTCTAGAGATCACCAAAACCTCTCTAACGAGTTGTTGGTGTTGAACCTCTTTCTAGGGAGGTTAAGCTTCATTCCTTTCTTGATGACGACTCTCTATGTACCTCCCTAGATGGCCTTTCTAGATCAAATCCTCTATTTGGTCTTTCAAGACCTGACAATCGTCAATGTTGTGGCCATGATCTCAGTGGAAGCAAGCGACATTATTTGCCCCTAGATCTTCTATTGGGAGGATTTTTCATCTTCCTGGGCCATCTGATCGTTCTCTCATCCCGTATTTGGAAGAAGATTTGCTCCATAGAGGTGTTTAAGGGAGTGTACATCTGAGCTGGCTCATTGGTGTGTGGACCTAATCAATCCCTCACACTTACCCTCTTAGTACAATTCTTCTTAGGACTACTTGCCTTTTCCTTCCTGCTTGCTGGATCTCGCCTCCTTTTATCATCCTTTTGGTCCTCTTGCCTGTTTTCCTGATTCTTTTGAGCTGGGAGAGCATCTTCGACGTTCATATGGTATTGAGCTCTCGTCAAGAGCTCGACCATGAAGGTGATCAAAGCCATCAATGCTTTCAATCTGCAATGATTTCGTTGTGAAACTATTTATGTAATCTTGAAGTGTTTCAATTCTAAATTGCTCGACATTGATAGGGTAGGTCAAAGGTCGCCTATGAGCCCGGCCTCCGATGAAACACGAGATGAAAGAACTGCTTAACTCTCCAAATGTTTTGATTGAGCCGACTTCAAGTTGTTGAACCAATGCCTTGTTGTCCCCTTTAGTGTTGTAGCAAAGGATCAGCACATGATTTGGTCTAGCACACTATGAAGCATCATTAGAGACCTATAAGTCTCGAGATGGTTCAGTGGGTCCTTGGTTCAATCAAATGCCTCAATGGTTGGCATCTTGAATTCCTTTGGGAGAGGGTAATTTGCCACATGTTGCGGGAACAATGACTTAGTGCATGTGTTGAACCAGAGCCTCAATGGCTTCTGGGACTTAAGCTTTCACTGTATTTATGACGTTTCATAGCTTTTTGTTTACCTCTAGGAATTTCTGCTCCCATCGACCATCATTATGGGGATGGGACATTTCGTTTTAACTCAAGTCATCCCCTTGATTATCTGCGACATACTCCTTGGTTTGAGATTATTCCAAGAGCTCAAGAATCCGATGGTTTTGCTTCTTTAGATCCTCAATAGCTTGCTCTAACCTTTTAACCTTTGCGATTTTCTTTTCTAGTAAGGGCACATTCCTTCGTCCCACTGGGTGGGAATTAGGACGTTCTTGCGTTTGATCGACTATAGGATCCTTGGATGCTCTTGTGAACGTCATGGGACTTAGATTTATTGCTAGAAATCATGTCAATTCCCATAGGTGACGCCAACTGTTGTTCCCAAAAACAAAGAACCAAGGTGAAGGGGTAATCTGGCAGTTGTCAGTGAGTTCTTGCACAGAAGTCGAGGACCAAAGGGNAATCATACGTTCTACGGGTTCATGACCGCAATGCAAACCCTGAATGCTCACAATGGACTGTAAACCACACATAGTGATTATATCTGGTTTTATGTAACTAAAGGCACTAGAACAAGTGTGTGCAGGTTTATAACTTGCCCCAATGTTCGACCAATGAACCAACTATGCGGCTTTTATGTCTCTCCAACAAAAAAAAAAAGCACTCTTTTGCCAAAATGTACTGGCACCACAGGTAGGCATGTGGGCAACAAAGTCACAAACAAAGAGCACATAATTCATAGTTGATTCATTGAGCTACCACAAGAAGCATATGAAGCACAGTCTATAATTAAAACCCCCTCTACAGTGATTTTATTGCTCAAATTATACTCTATTTTAGCTAGAGCAAAATGGTGATCTTTTGGCTGATTATGACTTGGCCTCTAATTATAAAGCAACCGTGTATCAAATTATAGAGGGAATAGTAAAATAAATTTTTAATCTTCCGAAATTTTATGCACCATTAGTTCAATCCATCTACCCTGATACATTTCTGAAGTGGGGGTGGGCCTCGATGAAGTAATCGAATTGGCTCAGCATCAAACTTTGCATATTTAGCTGTTATAAAACTTAATTAGGAACTAACCAACGCGTGTCAATTGATCAACTTCACATCTAGAAAAAACATTCATTGCCAAAAATGTACTGCTACCACAGGTAATACTGTGGGCAACAAAGGCACAAACAAGGAGCATACTATATGGTTGATGCGATGAAGTACCACAACAAGAACTATGAAGCAGAACTGCACAATTAGTACGAGCATAGTGGTGATCTTTTTGGTGATTATGACTAAGCACCTAATTATAAAGCAATCTTGTACGAAACTCCAGAGGGAATATTAAGAGAAAGAAGTGGTTCACTTTTTGAGACCATAGGCACCATTAGTTCAATCCATCTTCCCTGATACATTTCCGAGCGAGCGCAGTGGCCATCGATGAAGAAATCAAACTAATTCACCGTGAAAGTCCGTATATTAAGCTCCTATAAATCTTTATTAAGAACTAACCGAAATAAAATAATTATCAAACTCTCTTCACTTATTAAACTAACTTTAAAATTGAGTTTAAGTTTGGTTCATTTTCTAAATAAACAAACATGAATATGAACAAGCTTTAATCCAAACTGTGCTGTTCATTTACAACACTAGCCTCAACTGATGAACCTCCGTAGAGTTGTTGGGACATTAAACAGCCTAGAATATCTGAGAGATTAAATTAACCAAACGTGAATACAGCAAGAAAACACTTTATTAGTGATTTGAAAAAGAGTTAAAAAGCAAATGGAATCAGGTCTCCGTAGTTTGAAGTACAAGGTGGGCATGCCAACCTTTGGTTATGATTATGGTTTCCAAAGAATCCTTAAAGCTGGACAGCTTGCAAGCAATGTTGTTAAGGAAAGACATATATTAAGCCTTGTTTTTTTAATTATATAATACCTTATTGAAATAAAAATAAAAAAAGAGGGCCAATGGGTGCCAATGCATGCATGTAGCATAAACATTCAAAAAGAGCCCTAAATATTTCTTTTGACCTCCTAATACACCATACCTACCAAAAAGCAAAGATTTGATTTAAAGAACTCAGCAGTATTATTGATATATAATCAACAAAGTTGCTTGGTGACTGAGAATTGTAAAAGTGTAGACCATTCTAGAAGAGTTCCAAGTTTAAATTTTGATAATTATTAATGTTTAGCTCAGCTCAAATTAACTCAACAAAAGTCTTGTCTTAACTAAGGTCGATTACATTATTCTTGATCCGTAATCACATATATATTTTCAAGGTTTATATTTATTATAGATTTGACAAGTTATTCTTGTTGACTACCTAGCTAATGCAAAATATTGACAATAAACATGAGACAGGCGGAGTTTTCTTGGATATTATTGGTGTTTGGAAAGATTGCACGTTAGATTACCCTTATTATATCTAATTATTCAAAGTTTTTCTTTGTGGGTCTTTCAGATCTACCACNAAGATTGCACGTTAGATTACCCTTATTATATCTAATTATTCAAAGTTTTTCTTTGTGGGTCGTTCAGATCTACCACACTAATCAAAGTTTTGTTGCACAGGGGTCTTCTATTAATAGATGTATTTTGTCTATGACAGTATATCTTTTGTTCACATAATACTGTATGTATGTATCTGTATCATATCATACCATTTACTTGTTTTATATCTATATCCATATTTTGTAGAAAATTAATTTGTTTATCAAAGACTAATGCATAAGGTGGCAGATGAGCTTGCAAGATGGGTGCAGAGAGGGTGATCTGGTAACTCGATGGCGAATGATGGATGTACCACGTGGAAAATGTTATTTGGACTTAATTTGGGGACTTAATCTAGGGACCTAATTTAATACAACCATTGGATTGATTGTGGACTCCATTTAACATTGGAACTCACAAATAATTCAATGGTTGCATCNAATCTAAGGACCTAATTTAATACAACCATTGGATTGATTGTGGACTCCATTTAACATTGAAACTCACAAATAATTCACTGGTTGCATTGAAGCTACATCATTAGGTTCCCAAATAAGGTCCTTATAGCATTGCTCGTACCACGCTCATTAGCTACGCTAACACGGATGTATAAAACTGGCATCACATACATTAGGGATTAAAAATTTTCCTTCTTAAATTTGCTGGTATTTGGATTGTATTTTTTTATTTTGTTGTTTTTGTGGTTTTGGTGTTGTTGTATAACTACGGTATTACGGGAGGGTTATTTAATAAACTTGGAGGTACCATTCTCCTTTATTTAAAAAAAAAAAAAAACAGTTCNTACGGGAGGGTTATTTAATAAACTTGGAGGTACCATTCTCCTTTATTTAAAAAAAAAGAAAACAGTTTAATGCATAAGGTGGACTGAATTTTCATGCAGTATAATATTCTTCTACCAGAATTATTAGAGGACAGTATCCATGGAAAATTAGAAAAGGGATCATTGATATTTTTCTGTGATGAGAAGACACTGCAAGGAAAGACCGGAAAGTAGGACCCTGAAACAACCCACCCAAGATGTTTCGNAGTATCCATGGAAAATTAGAAAAGGGATCATTGATATTTTTCTGTGATGAGAAGACAATGCAAGGAAAGACCGGAAAGTAGGACCCTGAAACAACCCACCCAAGATGTTTCAGTCAAACATTGAAAGCAGCGGTCCACAAAGGATGTTCCTTTGCCGAATTGTTTTTGTTTTTTTCTTTTTTTACCAACAGTGTAACTTCTTTTCAGCTGATCAGGACCATCCTGTCTGATCAACGGTCTTAGAATTCTCTAGATTCTCCACCGTTGGATCATCCCAAACAAAGGCTACCTCCTCCTATAAATTCAATAGAGGTTCATTCCATTGGAAAACTAAGCGAGTGCACGACACAACAACTCTCTTCTAAACTTAAAGGTTCTCTTGTGTGTTGTGAGTACTCAAGAAAAGAGAACTGAAGCCATGGGAGGCAACAGCAGGCAGAAATCCTCTACCAATCCCTTTGCTCTCTTCAGCTTCTTCAAACTGAAGAGCTCGAGGCCTCGAAAGTTCGAAGACGACTCTATGAAGGCTTACAGAGTGTGGCCAAGTGACCAAGACCGAGGTCGTTACGTAGCCGACCCAGGTATTGACAGGAGAGCCGATGAATATATTGCTGGAAGGACAGAAAGCTGGAAAACTGCAGGCAATTCCTGCTAGAAAGTTGTGCGATGACAATTCATAAGCCTCTGAAATCCGAATCCATTCCTATCACATTTGTTATGTCCCATAGAAGTTGTAATTTGTTTTACTAGTATGGTCTTGTAGTATGTGGATTGCAAATAAATGACATGAGCAACATGATGATTTCTTTATGTTCTTCTAGCCTTCTCTTCTACTTCAACAATATGATATTAAGCATCTTTTGGATTGTATTTAAAGACTTGCACCTGCTTTAAGAAAAAAACTTGAAGATTTCTGTCTTTCTCGGAAACACGTTCAACTCAAGTGTCTTAGGGAAATCAAACTTTGTCTTGCGGGCCAAATCTTCTTTCTGATGGTTTTTAATATTTGAATCTGAAGGTTCGTAAACCAACTACTTTCATATCATTGCATGTTGGTGCAATGTTCTTTCATTTTGCAAAAGCTCCATATATAGAAGGGGTTTTAGAAAAAAGCTCTGCAAAACTAGTGTTGGAACTCTTGAGGGAGTGCTGGAGTTTTTAGGAAGAGACATTGAGGGACATATGGTTGTTAGGAGTTAACCACTCAAAACAGGAAGGATCCAATACACAATAAAATAATAGCAGCAAATAAAAATGTCAAAAATTGCACAATAGAATTAGGTGGAACGGTTTACACTAGTACACTATAAAACGAGCAAAATATAGGTAGGGAATGGGATATGGAGGAGACTGCTCTAGATAATATCATGTAGCGTTAAGCCTAATAAGAAGGAAAATGCTATTTCTACCAAAAAATTTTTATCGAATCTTCCATGTCAAATGATGTAGCATAATATTAGTCATTGAATATTAATGATATTCATTTATTTGATAATAAAAAAATATGTCACGTTATTTAATAAAAATATTTAATTAAAAAATATAATAAGCATAAGATTACGAATTGTGACCATGTAGCGTCGTTTCAGCAAACATGCAAATGTCCAGTTAGATCCGCGTCGGCTGGGACCGGTAGTTTAGTACTATCAACCTTCCCGTAGGGGTGGTAATTGAGTCGTGTTGTGTCGAGTTCGTATCGTGTCGAACATCAGTCGTGTCGAACATTAGTCAATTCATACCCAACCCATTTAACTATTCGTGTCATGTCGAGTTGACCTGTTTATTTTCGTGTCGTGTTCGTGTTCATATTCGTGTTGAC